CCATGCACATGTGCAGAGAGAGAATTCAGCTACAATTCACAACTCCTCCTCCCTGCTTCTCTCTCCTCGTCTGACAAATAAAATAGCAGTTGCTGCAGTCCAAGCATGTGGGTTACACACGTGCAACCCAAGCAGGATCCACACAAACACTTGAAGAAGCAGGAATTATTCTGTTTTCTGGGCTTGTTCTGCGTGTGGATTTTATAAAAGGCAATTTTACTAGGTTATATAATTCACTTCCTTCCCTCCACCAGTCCCCTCACCATACACAATGGCTACAACTACACTGCTGGTTTGCCAGCAGCAAATATGCAAATGAGATGTGGATTACCATATTGCTGAATCTCATTTGCATAATTCATGCACACCCTTTTTGTAGAAAAAATAGCATGGATGGGATTTTTTCCCCCACAAAAACCCTTTGCGCAAAACCGGCATGCATAAATTATGCAAATGATGTGCAGCAATATGCTAATCCACACCTCATTTGCATATTTTCTGCCAGCAAAAGCAGCAGTGTAGACGAAGCCAATGAGACCTGTATCACTCAAAAAGGACAGACCTCTTGGGTGACCCAGCGATGGGCAACCTAGGCTACTGAGTGGGCAGCATGTGGGTCACGAGAGTGTTATTATTCCCGTTGCCTCCAGCAGTGGATGCTGGAAGGAAGCAGTAGCCTTATCGCTTAGTAAATGCTCCCAGCCCATGGAAGACGATGGGCTCCCACACCTGGGAGAGTCTTTTGAGGAACTAGGAAAAAGGCAGCTGGTTGAAACACTCAGAGAAATTCAAGCAGCTCTGCCTCCCGATGAAAACTTCCATGAGAAGGGGCGTGGCAACCTGGACAACATCTCTGTAGGAAGAGAGGACTGGCTGATGTTTGAACTCTGGCTGGCAGGTGCTGCCATCCAGCTTGCGCATATATGTATGACTGTATCCACGCTACAGCTAAAAATGCTGAACACCAGATCAAAGTTGGGGAAACCCTCTGTCTCAAACCAGCATGTTCTCTCCAGGTGATGGTTTGTAGACTTCATACACGCTGTCATTCAGGGAAATATTTTTATTACATGCTACTTTTTCATCATGTTACATTTATTACTATGTGGAGCTAAGGAGATTTATTTTTATGAGATGCTCCAGTGAAGTTTAATGTTGACTTTCAGCTTTTATTACTTACTCAGCATTACCAGTTGCTTTCCACCTGTCTAGAACAGGTCCCTGCCTCAAAGTGGTGATAGTCTGAGATTCTTCTACAGCAATGGGTGCTTTGTGTGTAATGAAGACAGAGATACAGAGGTAGCTGGGGGAAGGGTTACAACAAAGCATTGTAATTTGCACACTATTGGTTCTGATTTCCACTTTGTCTTTTTTGTGTGTCTTTTCCCCTCAACATTTGTTGCTATAGGTTACTATGACCTTTTACTAATGTTCACTTACTTTTCACAGGTGAGCTCACACTTAGGGTACATTTGTAGGCTCAATTCTCACAGGCCCCAGCTTCCTGCTAGCTGAGGATCTTAGGAGTTTGTGAGCTGGGGCCCCAAGGTTCTTGTCTGCCAAAGAGCTGGAAACCTGGACTTGCCAGCACTCTGACTGATAGGCTACCAGGGAACTAGGCAGATGAGCAAGTGGGAAACCAGGCAGGTTTCTAGCAGCAGTGCAGCTGGCTTCAGACACTACATCACCAAGGTCAAACAGTCTCCATGAAATGTTTTAGTTCCAAAGGAGCGGTATGAACCACTAGAAAACCTGCTCTACTATCAGCCTCTTTCACACTCCTCAGAAAACAACTTCATCCTCTACCCAGGAACCCTCATCTTGGGTGCTAAGAGTCTAAGGTGTAACTTCTTGATGAAAGTGAAGAGCTGGTCAGAGGGAGCCATACTTTACAAGGAGGGGACAAAAGGAAGATTGTTTGAGACCACAGCTGCAACAACAAAGTGGATGCTCAGATGGGCAAGGAATGTTATGGACAAAACCAAGATGATTCAAGCCTATTTTTGCTGACATTTAAAACGACTCAACTTCAGGGTTAGTCACTCAGCAGTAGGAGTTACAGGTACACAGCGTCGCATGGGAAGGTTATGTCCAACATGCAGGCTTCCTTCATTATGAGAGGAGATTGATATTAAAATATTGCATGAAACTTAAGTTGCCGTGAAGTCAATTTGTATTTAGATTACAAAATTCATTAGCTTTGGAACTCACGTTACCACTGCATTAGCACAGGACAGCAAGGAAAGGGAGACTTACATGGTTATTTCCATTGGCAGAGCTGAGCAAAATACGAGCAGGGTGGAGATTCACTTTGTTGTTAAATGTTGAACTCTTTTGGCAGGAGACTTTAGGAAAAAGTATTGTCGAGAGGGCTTTTAAAAAGAAAAATCTGATTTTGCAGATATTTTACTCAAAAGTGCTGGGTGGGCTTATTTCTACAATCGTTAAAGGTCAGGCCCTTGAAAAACAGTTGCGAGCCATGCACCAAGGTAATTAACATCACAGTGCAGGATGCCGGTTGGTCTCACAAACTGTTATTATGCCCCTTCTCCAAACTATAATTACTTTACACTGCCAATCTAATTCCCTCTTGCTCTCAAGATTTTCTCTTGTTGCAGAAGCTGACTAAGATGAGTGGTAAACTAGTTCTGGTGAGATCTGATTTGCTGGACCCATTGATGTAAGTCCAGCTATGGTTAGGAGACTGGTTTCTTTTGTTGATGCTCTCCTTCTCTGGGTGACAAAGGTCAACTGTCTGTGGTTTTATTTCTAGATCTGCAATCTGTGATCTTGTCCTGCCCAACTATGGTGCTTTGGAAGAGACTACTGTTCTGTGGTTCTGTTCTTTCTTGCTTGATGTGTAACAGTAGCAATGCAGTATTTCTCATGCTCACCAAGCTCCTTTTGGTGTTGGTGCATAATTTTACATTCCCTTGCCCCTTTTATTTTATTGGCTATACACCACCAATATGCCTGGTCTTGTATAAGACATGCTTTTTATTCAAAATCCCATTAGGCACCTGCTGACATCTTAGAGTCCAATATCTTAGATAACCCTCCCATCCTCCACTTCTTCCTTGCATTTAGGATCAACAAAAGAAACTCATTTTGGAGATCCAATCTTAGTGTGTATGATGGAGAATGCCAGAAGCTGGAACTATATGCATTTTTCATGCTATCAAAGGCAGTTTCTTGACATTCAGGGTCTGGTACAATACCCATCAGTTCACCTGTATCCAAAACAATTAGTTTAAGAAGCAGATCATGATTGGTTGAGGCTGCTGTTCCTGAGTTCCATTAAGGCTCAGTGGTTACAGGAGAGAGTTTAGCTGATGCCAATTATCAGCAGTCTGTTACTAATTTCTGGTAGTGATTAAGTGCTCAGATCTTAAATACAGATTTTTTTTCTGAGCAGGATCCAGTAAATAAGGAAAAATACAAACTAAGTGATACCCTGTGAGAAATCACCATCACAGAAGAAGAAAGCAAGAGCAACTGGAGAGAAAACAAAGCAACTGTGGACATATTAATAAATGGTGTCAGAAAATTATGAATATTAAAAACTTAAAGGTCAATTAAAATATTAAGAGTTCTCCTGTCAGCAGTGTTAAAGCCATATCTTCCAGCATTATGGACTCTGTCAATATCAGGAAAAGTACTACTTCTACTAGTATAGATATTTCCTCCCACTGAATTATAATCAATACAATATTTTAATATGTTAGTTCTTTAAAATGAGGGCAATTTTTATTTGTCTCAAAATGAACTGCAGGAGAACGTTATGATTCTTACCTTTAAGGTTAATTCAATAGAGCACAGTTACTGCTCCAGTGGTTTCTATATAACAGATTTAACCCCAAACTGATCATTTTATAATGAGATCATTTTCCATTAATATAGTACCTGAGATTTATCAGAGCCCATTACAAGCTTTAACTAATTAATTTTCAAAAAATACCCGTATTATCCCTATTTTACAGATGGAAAAATTGACACACTAAGAGATGAAGTGTTCATGCCAAAGGCCCCTATGGGGAAAAAAGAAACAGAGCTGGACTTAGAACACAGGAGTCCCCAGCTCAGATTGCTAGAACACACAATATGCAGATTGACATGTCAAAGATGTAATCTTATAAATATCCAACACTTTTGGCCAGGTCTTCAGTTGATGTAAATTAGCGTAGCTCCATTGACTTTATTGCAGCAGAGGTGATAGGCTCAAATACTCCTGTGATGAGTGGCAGTGATATTATTATGCTAGTAGAGAATATGCCTCACTATTTAAAAAATACTCAACCATGCTAAGCATTTTGAGTTTTTTTCCCCCAGGGGAGGAAGGGGAAGGGGCTGCATCAACATTAAACCCTGAAGATGTTCTCATTTCAAACAAGAATAAAGGCGCATGCTTTGTGGCTTGCAGAATATGGTCTAAATATTTGCAACTTGAAATGTTGAATATGTATCATATGAGCTACACATACTTGCAAGATAACTGTCAAAGCTACGTCATGTCACTTTGGAAATGTTTTCTTTTATTAATCCAAATATTAAATCCAGGCCATTTCTTGTCTAGGAACTGTAGTTCAACATCTATTTTCATGTTTGTGGTTCTACGGAACTTATTTTGCACTGAAATCCATAGTCAGTTTCTTTTTCCTTCTGAAGATAATGATCCTATATTGTTTTCTTTATGCCTTACTACATAATGATATAATAAAATGAAAGTAAAAGGTTTTACCAACATTTGCTTTTATAAAGGTGTGCAATTTACATTTTTATGTTTAGAGCAGTTACTGTCATGCAATTTTTGAAGTATAAGTTTCCTGAAATCAGTATACATTAAACTTCATATTTTACTTGGAAAAACATCTTCAAAAAGAGTGAAGAGGTATATAATGAAAATGCAGTTCTCAATCATTTGTGACACTGCAAAAGTATGATTTACATCCAGGTTAAGTTAGATTTTAACACTAGAAAACTTTCAAAAGACTCAGTGGTAGCTCATTTACAAATATACTATTTATAATGAATGCATTGATACAGAATGACATTTATAAAAAAGCAAGGCAATCTTTTATATTATAGACATAACAATCAACATTACAATAATTCAGATTAAAAGTACATTTTTTGTAGACTGTTTACACTCTTTTGTTTAGCTTTAGACCACAAATTCATGTGATCTGGTATTTTACCACAGCAAAAAATCCTGTGCAGACCTGTTTAAGACCAAAATATCAGAATAATAACCATGATCTTCTGACCTTTGCTAGAATAAAAACAAAAACCGTTAGATACTGTTTGCAGATACTATAATTTGTTTGTAATTGTCCTAACTGTGCCTTTTAAGTTTCTGTGTTGTGCAAATTACTGCCAACTGTATGTCTAATTAAAAGCAAGTTCCGGCATGCCAATTAAAGATACAATTGAGGTGCAATATTGACTATACAAAAACACTTTCTTGCATTCAGATTCTTTAGCAACACAAAAGACATGTCTTCCCTTGATATGTTATGACTTTGTATAGATCCTTAAGAGAGAAACAAGTAAAGGAAGAAAACATTTGATAAAAGATTTTCCATTAAAAATGTATTTTGCAGACTTTCAGGACTAAAAACGATACTTGACTTTTTGCTTTTTAGGTACTGCAATGGTGCCAATTGCTCACCAGCTGGACAATGTTTCTAAGTACTGTTTTTTAAAACCAATTAAGTGAACAAACTTTATTGTTCTTTCACATAGTGTGAACACATGGTTTCTTAGACAGCATTAACAAAAACTGCACAAAAAAATCTAAAAGCAAAATAGGGATTGAACCATCAAATATTCTACAGTGTTAGATTGTTTTAAAATAAAGTAACATGAACGTAAGCATTTCCAATAGCTTCTGACAAATTAAAAAAAGGCCAAATATGCAACCATATGACCAAACTGCACAAGTTGCGTTCAGCTAGATGTTTTTGTTTAGGAAATTAAATGTGAGGCAGCCACAGGGGGCATTTTCAAAGCCAAGAGTTAGCAGCTAAATTTCAATTTAGTCATTTTAACACAATATAACTGGTTTAAATAAAAAGTAATATTGCCAGTTATTCTTCCTTTATGTTTAAAAAAACCCTTATAATCAGTTTTATACGCATCAGATTACTGTTATACTATACTCTGTAGCATAGTATTTTGTTGCGTTAGGCAAGGCATGGTTCATGATAGTGTCCTATAAATGCAAGTACTCATAGGCAGGCAACAGAGGTCATGATTTGATTTGCATCCTGATTTCTAGAGATTGTCACACTTTTCATCATCTCATCTAATATATCTGAGAGCACTACCCAGAATTCTATAGCAATGCACAAAATTTAACAGAAATCTAGTTCACCCCTTTGACCTAGTCTTTAAAAAATACTCCTCAGAATCATATTCCTCCATCTTGCTCATGACTTTAATTCCATACATTTGTCAAAACCAAATTCTTTCTTCTCATTTTGAATTTAATTAGCATGAGCCAATATTCTTACACAAATGAAGACAGATACCACTGAATGGCATTTGTCATTAAAGACAACCTAAAAATTGTACTTAGTTGAAAGATAAACAATGCAACACCCTGGAAAATTTTAAAAAGTTAGGTCAGGTTGTGGAATTATTGTGATGATCAAGAGGTCAGATAAACAGCTGAGGGACTGATAACATTTATCATTAAAGCTTATTCCAAGCAATAATACTCACCCATTTAACACCAAAATTAAATAACTCATTTTATAAGGAAACTTCTTGAATTAGTCTTTGAGTTAATTCTTTGCATCAGAACTTAATGTCTCATGCTGTTTTACTAACACTCCCCTCTACACACTTCAAGAAGTGTTCACTTCAAAAAGTACAAAATTAAACTCTCAAACAGGACACAGGAGTATTTGGTATTGAAGTTACCATTTTAGCATAAGGGTACTTTAAAAAAGATCCTGTTTTTAATATAGTAAAGTTTTAATTCATTACTTTCTTCCTACAAGTGTAATGAAGAGACAATTTTTGTTTAGAGTGTAAAAATTATTTTTTGGTAAGCCAACTTCTCATCCGACTAAGTTTTTGGAAGAGGGGGCCAGCTCCAATTGTACAGTCATTAGCCATGTACCTTAACAAGATGAATAAATCAGATGAAAATATTTACATACTAAACAATCTTAATTCCATAAATGCAACCCAACAGCACCTATACCTGACTGTACAGCAGTGGCAATGGGAACTTTTCAGGAAGAGGCAGCCTGCTATTAGATACACTATTACTTGAAACTTAAGAAGCATCGAAAACTACTCCTCTTGGGCTAGTTTCCTACTGCATTATATACCTAAAATCTTGCTGTATTGTAACAGATTGAGACAAAAGTTGTTTTATAAATTAAAGGATAAATTCTCTCATCAAAAATGAGATTGGATATACAAATGGGGAACACAACTGATATGCTTTAAGGCAGCAACCTTTGTTTTAAGGAATCGTATCAAAAACTCTCATGTGAACTGAGAGCGCAATAAGTAGGCTTCAGCAATAAATTTAGAAGTTCAATTACAGTCTTCAAAGCTACACATTTCAGCATCTTCATATTTTAACATCTTACTGCTGAGACAGATTAACTCCAGGCAGAGCTATAATAAACTAGATTCTTTTATGAACTAAGATCTAAACTGAAAAGCTACAGTATATGTAAAAAGTAAGGGAGGGAAACAGACATTACTTGTTAAAATCCAGTGACATCTACAATAGTTTTACAGCACATTTGAGCCCTCTACGGTTTTATATCTCCACCTGCCTTCCCTTTAAAAGTTGTTCCTTGTTAATGTATATACATAAGACAAAATAGAGTACAAGTTACTGTTAAAGCTGGAAAAATTAGACCAAGGCAGTACATAAAATTAAACATGTCTAAGAAGCCAAAAATTATACTTCCCAAACTTCTGCATGTGAAATAAATTTTCCTGGCATCAACTGATTTAATTTTTACTGTCTTCTCCAAGTCACAACAATTCAGCAGCAATTCCATTATAATATCCAATTTATAGTAAATAGAGTCAACATCTGAAATGTAACTGCCCTTAAGAGTTTCCATTTTCTAAAAAAAAAGGTCATCTTAAACTGGCACTGCAAGTGGTGTGACAGTATATATTTAACTGTAGCATCTTTAGTTTTCTAAGCAGTCAAGCAAATTCAAATAAAATCTCATGTGAACCATGTACAGTATTTCTATTGAGCGATCAACATCTGTGCACAAATGAAAAGGTGCTTCTTTTTAACAGAACATTTTTAATACTGAAATTGACAGGATGAGGTTAAGAAGGAATAACTATGGTACTGAACTGAATATTTTGAAGCAAGTGCCCCAGCTGTGGGGAAAAGTGCATTTAGTTCAGCAGCAAAACAGCACAGTGTGAAGATATTGTGCTTGGACACAGAAGTTACGCAATGGAAGGAGGTGAAAGGCATGTCAAGATATAAAACCATAATATGTTGTTAACCAACCTTAAAACTTACATATATTGCAGTGTTTAAAAGTAAGACATTCATTTATTGTACAAGGACTATGAGGAATCCTTAAAATTGTCTGTTGTAGTTTATGACTCAACATTATAACAAAAAGATAATATATATTATTTTCTTGCCATTCAACTGTACTGTTAGACTTTATGATTTTGTAACTTCACAAAACAAGAACTGCTCTTCACAGAGACTACTCAATATTTTTACCAATCTGAAAAGGTTACTTGTGCTAGAAAAGACCAACCACAAAAGGCTCAGTTCAGATATGTTATGCCCACAACTGATAACTCAGGGAAGCAAGATTTAAAAGAATTCAAGCTTTTTAGACTGCATCTTTTCCACCTACCAGTTGTTTTGATGAGTAAATATTTTTAGTATACAAACCTGCTGATAAAAATTCTTCAACAGAAGCATATAAATTCTAGATTGATTAAAACAGAGCAAATCAAAACAAAACAAAATCCAGTGATTTACTCTGACTGTAAACAATATAAAAACACCGCTTGTTTCAAATCTCAAAATAAATTAAAGAAAATCCCACCAGCTTCAGGATGTGTGACCCTACCAGGTTTTGACACAAAGGAGACGGAGGAAAACAGAAAAGTTCCTCATAAAAGATTGCGCATTTTGCCTAACTGAAAGTAGATCTAAATAAAACCACTCTTGTCCCTTAAATTTAACAACTTCAGAATTTGTTGGCAATTGCTTTAGGATAACTGGCATTTCCAGATTACTCAGACAAACATCCATCAAATTCAGCAAAATAAACTTAGACAAGCATTTTTACAGAATAAAAAAAAATCTAAATGGCTATGATTCCTCTATTAGCAGAAACACATAACGCAGTCTTAAATTTGCCTTTTTATATTATTTATATATTGTATATATAATATAATATTATATGTATATTATATTATATATAACAACATTAATGCAGTTTGTATTTTGTACAGTGTATGGGACAATCCAATTTCCATCAGACCATGGCACGGTATGGTCCCTGCATTTTTAGGAACTGAATGATGAAGGAAGGTCCCCCAGCAACGATCTGAGGTGGAAGGTGGCTGAGTGGGCAGTTCTCAATACTCATTATTGACAGTTTGCTGCAGAGTGCCAGCTCAAAGGGAAGGCTGTGCAGATTGGGGTTGTCATTCAAATACAGTTCTTCCAGGTTCTCCAGTGTACCTGGTTAAAATGAAACAGTCATAAATATAAAAGTAAAACCCTTTTGTTTCACATGGCTTATAACAAATGATTAGAAGCATTCAAACTCACAAGTGAAATTCAACTGGAAATTCTCCACCGTGGAAACAAGTCATGACCACTTCTATTATCAAATATAGCAACCTCCTTGGTCACAAGTATCTAAGTAAGAGCCACATTCATCTCACTTCTCTGCAGTGACCATCACTGCAAGATTCCCATTCAAAGACTGAGCACACACAGCCGCTTGCCTTTATCAATGTGACTGTTACATGAATCAACCAATATGATATGCTAGACAGCAAAGTAATGGTCTCTATCTTGCCAAAGCTAAACTATCTTGGAGGCTACACTAGAAAACTATACTTGAAGAAGACTCCCTATATAACAATCTTTTCATTGCATTCCTTACAGATCATGCATGACATAAGCACTGCTCCTATTCTGAGGGCCTGCTCCATTTTAGATTAATAAAAATGGTTAAAAAAATATTGTTCGTCATAATGCAAGGATAGTACTGTACCACTGGCTTGTCAAAGCTTCCTAGGAATGCAGCACTGGGGACACTAGCAGGAGTATTAATTGAGAAGACAGGTGCACCCAAAGTAATTCTGTAAGGGGGCGAGGGGTGTGTGGAAAATGATGCACTTGGACACATCATTAAATACTAATAAGAGTTTCAATGCAAAGTGGAAGTGGGTATTGTCAGAATTCTTTTACTGTTGTTTATATTACTGTAGTTATGATTAGCAGATTTTTTTCTATCATGTAACAGTTCACAGTCAAGAGTCAGTAATGAGAATATGTAAATCTCTACTGAATACTCCTGTTGCCTTACAACACTCACCTCTTGGTGAAACATCAAAGACCTAGAGGAGAAGCAGAGAGGGTGACAGGAGTATTAGAGGGTTAAAAAGTGTGTTGAGGAAGGAAAGATTGCAGGACCATTGGTGGGCTGGGACACTGTGCAAAAAGTTCAGAGTACAAGCAGGAGAACCACAAGTAGAATCTGAGGAGGATTAGGGAGCCAGGGTAGGAGACTGAAAAGCAGCAAAGCAGAAAGGCACAGTTGAGCAAAACTCTGAGTACTGGCTGATAATTCTATATGAGGCAATCCAATTTGAAAACTAACAACCAGTCTCTATACCTCACTAAATTGTTTAAAACATATAAATTTATTTTAACTCTATGATTAGACTATAAGGCATCTGAGCTCAAATAATTTATGACCTAGAATGCATAGAGCCAGTTTAGCCTTCTCTCTGCTATATATGCAAGATTTGCACTGGCTGTGATGGTGTTTCACTGGAAGTGCTAGGATAGCTGAAGCATCTATGTCTCTTTCACTAGCTGCGTGGCACTGCATTTCTAATTCATTTCATCTTATTTAGGTCTCTGGGGGTTTTTTTATTCTCTTTCCTCCCCTTTCCCTTTATTTTCTTCCCCTCTTCTTTTGTCCCAGCAAGGTGAACAGTATGATGATATACAAGTAAAAATATTTGTAGAAGGCCAGTGCCTCTCCTTTTAGATGCCTGCTGGAGCTCCTTCCTCACACAAAATTTCACTTTTGCATGTCACCAGAAAGAAAAGTCATAGAATTAGCAGCCTGATTCTTTTCCTACTGAGCTCTTTACAAGGAAATGGTTGGAAAGGCAAGTTGACTAACACTGACTGGTATTGCACAATACTATAAATGTCTCTTTAGCAAAGTGAGTGAAGAGCTTGATAGAGAAGGAAACTACTTAATCCAAGTCAGTTTTCCCCTACAAGTCCTTCATGAACAGTAATTAATCAGCAAAAGCTAAGGAATTTCTCTCAGAAGAACAAAGAAAGCATGTAATTTTGTAGTGCTGGCAGAAATTTCAAGTAATGGTGCAAATCTCCTCACAATAAAAGTTTCTTCTTGAATTTTGTGGCCTTTGTTTATGAACACAATATATCCCTATCATTTTGTGTCTCCCAACAATATCTGGAGGTTATTGCTTAACCATGGTGCATATTTATCAGAAACAGCATCTTACCAATTTCTTCAGGAAGGTGTGTGAGAAGATTCTCTCCTAGACCAAGATGTGTCAGATTGGTGAGGTGACCAATTCCTCTTGGAAGAGTAGTCAACTGATTATTAGTCAAGACCAATTTCTGGTGGAGAAATAAGTTCTTAAAATTACTAACGGTACCTTCAAAAAGTTCAGTAATATCAGAAAATATAGCTATTACATTGACAGACTATATGTCTAGCACAAAGAAGGAAATGTCTAGCTTTCTATGTCGTTCAAAAGTTCTTTTAAGTGTGATTAAACTTAACAATAAACATGAACTTTTATCTAAGGATATGTAGGCACTTGTTAAGTTTTACTCAAACCACAAAACAACCCTGTGAAGTCTATTTTATTCATTCTATGCATGGTCAAAGTGGGGCAGAGAAAAGATGACTACTAACTGTAACTGAAGGTTCTTCAAGATGTATGGTCCCTGTATTTCACACACATGTTTGGAAATTTTTCCAAACAGCGTCCTTTGAGCTGGGCATGCACTTTATCTCCCTTCGCGCTCCTGTCCTATGGTATAAAGAGTGGTGTGGGTCAATGGGCACGAGGGTTGTCTCTGAATACTGCCAGCCTGGTGTAGGTATTAAATTTGTGTTTAGCCAACAGTGCCTGGTAATTGGCTATATGAAACTGAAGGCCTGTGGAGGAAAAGACTTTCCTGTGTAGGAGATCCATCCCCTTTGACTCTCTGTCCGGGAAGGTGGATTTCTGAGGCTGCTGCCGAGCTCCTTCCACAGCCACTTGCACAACTAGTGAACTATGGGAAGGGTATCTACAGATGAAAGTAGCCCTTTTGGCCAGCACAAACAGCGTCTCCACTTGCTTTGGTATGGGGGGGACACTATGTAGCTGTATGTCAGATTGTTCTGACCAGTTGCAGTATGGCCTTGTTTAGAGAAAGGCCACCCTGGGTGGCCTTAGGGCTATCAGATATCTGGGAGATTATGTTGGGGATCATAAACCTTCTCCGATGGGATTTACAAGTTGGTAACCATGCTTTGGAAAGATATTGTTATTGACCATGGTCATCTGGCAGATAGGGTATCAAAGGGATGGCCTTGTCATCCAATGACAAGGTGGCTCTGGTTGGAATCGGCTGTACTGGCACAGTGTCTTCCTTCCCATACACCAGTGTTCCTCAAAGTGGTCTGTGAAACCACTCTGAGAAATCTGTTAACTGGCCATGCCAGTTTGTTTATTCACTGCTGCTGCGACCTCAGACTCTGATGGCTCCTACTGGCTCCCCTTGGCTGCAAACAGTGAAATGGAGCCAATGGAAGCTGTGAGGCTCCAGGCTGCGGCAATGGTAAATAAACAAACCACCGTGGCCAATTAACAGGTTTCTCAAAGTAGTTTCACAGATCACTGAGAAACACTGCCATAAACCGGCAGAAACAACTGACAATAGGGGAAAGTGGCAGGACTCCTGCAATGGTGGGAGTGTCTGCTATAAGGGTGCCCAGTATGGCCAAAAGGTGGGATCAATCGCTCACGGTGCATTCCATGGGAATCAATATAAGACATCCCAGGAAGGGGGGTCCAAAGCCAGGAGGATAGGGCTGCCACTACTCTCTGGGCTCCTGGGCCTATCAATGGACCCTTCTCCTCTCAGACTGAGGACAGTGCTGAGGGAAAACAGTGGTACTACTGGTGTGGGGAAGCCCCTATGTGATGGATAGGGAGGAGGGTCTCTCCTGTGGCAGTAGCTGAGCTTCATCCCTTGGTATAAGAACTTCCCTGAGAACTGTCAAGCCTGAAAATAGTAAAGACTGTGGGCAGGGAACGACGACCTCATCCAATGTCAGAGAAGCATCCGTACGGCCAGGAAGCTCCAAGGTTCCCACCAAGACACTGAAGGAACTTGGTTTCACCACCAGAGCAAGGCCAGTCTCTGCAACAATGTACATTCAGACTAAAGTTCATGGATGCAGTTGGCCTTCATTTGTCCCTGATGCTGTGGTCACCATCAGATCCCTCCTCTTTGCCTTACCCTGCGGTCAAGGGGCCTTCAGTGATCATTCCCTGGGAACTGACGACTCACTCTACCTGGCATGGCATAGCATTCTGCTACAGGGATCTGTCCTTATGCCCATGAATGTGTTTCTTACTCTGGTGGCTCCATTCCATGGCTCATGCTTACAGGTGTATTGCTGGCTAGCTGAGACTGATGTACATGGAATGAGGGGTGAAGGGAAGTCTTCCATCCGGGATTAGATCAGGGCCTGGTAGCCTTTTCCATCAGGTACTTCTACAGCCTGAGTTCTTGGGCCTCTCTGGTTCAGAGTGGGGAAGACTTACAGGTGCTGCACTTTACTGAAATAATGCCTCATCCAGACAGTAGACACACCACTGATCCTTGTTGATGAAAAGGAGCAAGGGTACACATGCAGGTCAATGGATGCTGCTTGGAAAACCTGCCAGTCTCAGGAGCATGGCACATATTCCCACATGAGGAACAAATGTAAGAACCAGCATTTGAAAAATCAAACGCTGTGTTCCCAAGGTCAAAGTCAAAGGCCATACAAGGAATAAAACTCAGGAGTTCTGAATCTTTGTACTCTTTGCTAACAATAAACTCCTTCCGTCAACTCTCCTTAAAGAAAGGTTCAAATCAGCTTGCTGAAAGTAAAAGGCTTAGTATGTTTATCTCCTCTCATTAGTGTTTCACCTGAAGATCCTTAAGGTATGCTATTTCATTTGGCAAGGATTCCAGTTTGTTCTCCTCTAGATCCAACTCTCTTAATTTCCGTAGGTTTCCAATGCCATGGGGAAGTTTCTTTAGGAGGTTATTTGACAAGATAAGAACCTGGATTAAAAAACAGGGAGAATTTTTGTAATGCAGCAAGCAAGCGCAAACTGAAATGGAATCCATTTACACTTCAGAATTAAGTAGCATTCGATACAATGCAAAATTAACATACTGTTTAATACATTTTGTGAAACTCTTGTGAAAGTGAACCAAAGGAGAAAGTTAAACTTAAATCAGTAATAAAAACTAACAAGAGGTTACAAAATGAATTTTAACAAAAGTTTAAATTCAGAACAATAGATTTCAGGTTAACGGGGCTATTAAAAATGTACATTATTTTAAAATAAACAGTGGGGAAAAAGAACCGTTGGGCCCATTTTAAGCAAGTAACTCAAGAAAATAGATTACTGCATAATCTCTCATCATCTGTATCTTTTCACATGCTTGCCTCACTGCCATCTACCTTTCTGTTCCTTCTGTCCTCGCCATTCCAACTTTGACCCTATCTGCCAAACATCCCCACTACTTCTTCAAGAAGTAGATTTTGGGAAGAGACTAATATAACACAATACTTGGATACTCTACACACATGCATTAGTATCCTATAATGGACTTCCCTCATCAACCCCCTTTTTAAAGTCTTGTGGTGCTTTTGGTTACTGTTTGTGCTCATGTAGGGGAGCCTGGACAGCCCTGCCTTGACAATAAATTGTGATGTCTGCCTTGACCACAGTGCGTATCTCTAACAAGCAAATCCCAGCATTGTCTCAAGTCTGGTGCACGTAGCATGCAGGCAAGGCTCAGGGGAAGCTTTCAGAGGCAGGAATGTTTTGCATAATAATGCAGATTAAGCACGGTATGCGAGACCACGTGAAGAACACACGACAATCAACCTCGTACTGGTACTTCTATTTCGGATGAACAACAATTACAGATGCAGCCATAAAACTGTTAACTATGCACATAGTTTTTGCAACATCCTGAGTAGCTGGATGTACCCCAAATAAGGGTATTGGGCATTTTAGGTATCCTACACAATACGTAATCAGTTGGTAAATATTATTATAATGACCCAAGTCTCGCTTTGCTATAACATGAGCTTAGTAAGAAGAATTGATGGGAAGGAGGGAGCAGGATTGACCCATAGGTCCTGCTCATTGTAAGTAGTAGTAAATAGACCCTTTACACCGGTGACCCCAGTGCATGGTGTCCCAAAGGGTGAGGATCAAAGGGATCACAACCTCCTGCCTGGTACTGTAGGTAGCATATGGGTGAAGTGTAAGTGAACTAGGCTTACTTATTGTATTATAATAATCTTCTATTAATTGCTTTTGCATTGCTTTGCACTGTATTCATTACTTTAGAATTTATGGTATTTAGGGTTTAAATTGTATAGTAATTGTTGTTAAGGCTTGCAAAATTTAAACTACTATATTAACTGCTTAAAGCTTGTAATAAATAAGAAAGTAGTTAAGTCTCTCTGGAGTGTCCTGGCTTCCCTTGGATCTAAAATAAATCAAACCACACGACAGCTCATTTAAAATGAAGGCTTGTTCCCAGAAGGAGATGCAGAAAAATTAATCCAAAATAAACAAGGTGTGAATTTAAAGAGGATTAGCTAAACTGTGTTAAATCCCTGCAAATTCTTATTGAAAATTCAAGTGTCATTAATTCAATTTAGCTTGCTTCACTTCCAAAGTACATCAAATTAAGTTAATTTTAATTCTCGATAAGAATGTCCACACAGGCATTTTCTCAGTTTTAACTAATCCAATTCATTAATTTTCTTGACTGTTTCCATGCTGACAAGATCTCAGAACGTAAACTCCTCCAGGTGAAAAATCTTTCTTTGTCTATGCTATGAAGTACCATGCTCATCTATGAACCCAAGCAATTCATTCAATAATAGCTTGCGCTAATATAACACCTTTCTCCAAGAGTAGCTCAAAGTTACTGACAAGCAACTCAGAACACCTCAAAAAACAAAACAAAACAAAATAAAAACCACTTAGAAAAGAGTGGCACAGTAGCACCTTAGAGCACCTAACAATATGTATCATAAGCTTTTGTGGGCATAACCCAGGGGTGGGCAAAAGGGCATCTGTGGGCTGGATTCGGTCCGCCAAGTGGGTCGACCATGTCGACAGAGGCCCTGCTGCTCCCCCGTCCCCCAGACCAATTAGGGCCTGGGGGCAGAGGAGCGCCTGAAGCCTTCTCCACTCTGTCTCCACCCTGCGAGCAGCACTTCAAAGAGCCGCATGCTGCTCGCAGGGCAGGGGCAGAGCGGAGAAGGCTTTGCGTTCTCCCCCACCCCCAGGCTTTAACTGGCCTGGGGGCAGGTGAGTGTACAAAGCCTACTCCCACCCTGCCAGGAGCATATGGCGCTTTGAAGCGCTGCTCGCAGGGCAAGAGAAAGAGTGGAGGAGGCTTTGCGCGCTCCGCTGGGGGCAGGGGAGCTATGTGAAACTTGCTTCACCCTGCCCCGGCCCTGCGAGAAGCCCGCACACTTCAAAGTGCCACGGGCTCCTCGCAGGGCAGGAGGAGGCTTCCCGACTCCCCCGTCCTTGATTGGCCTGGGGGTGGGGGAGCATGCGAACCCTCTTCCATGGCATGAGTGCCTAGTGGGAAGGGAGGGGCAAAGGGGCTCCCCCACCCCCCAGACCAATCATGGTCTGGGGGTAGGGTAGCCCCGCTCCTTCCGTTTAGGCCCCACCCCTTCCAGGATGGCCCGGGGCTACTTCAAAAATTGCTGAAGTGGCCTCTGGGCAAAAATGATTACCCAGCCCTGGCATAACAACTTCTTCAGATGAGTGGCCCTGCACCCTCCATGAACCTGAATATGTCAGTTCTGTGTGAGCATCTGCCTCTCTCTATGCCTCAGCAAGGCTACTAAGTTTGGATCTCATTGTTCTATGTCCTAAGATTCTACCAGAATCATTGGTTCCATCTATAGGACTTTCTCTTTAAAATGGATTTATAAGAATCTCATGGCGGCTGGCTGCAAGGCCCGGTCCATCACTTTCTAACTAAGCTCAGTCCACTTTGTTCTCCTTTTGTCGGAATATTTTGGCCAACTTTGTTTGTAGGCCGGTCCCCTCCAGGTGTTCAGCCCAATTTTATTTTGTTGTATTTTCTGCACGGTACCTTTGCGGGGTGGGGTTGTCTATAGGTTAACAAATGAAAAAGCACACAGGCTTAAGGAACGAAACACTTAAAAAAGACTAATCATGAAAGTCATAAACTTATGGAATACTCTTATGTGTGGTTAGCACGTCTATTGTTTGAACATAAGTTTTTTTTTTAAATTGATCAATAGCATTACTTAAAATTTGAAATATGAGAAGTTCGTTTCTGAGGATTTGCTTATTCAGTATTACTCTCACCTCAAGGGAAACTAGCCCCGACACATCTTCAGGAATTTTTGAGAGCTGATTAGTGGCTAAATTCAGTTCCACCATGCTGGTCCAAGTCCCAAAGTCCAAGGGGAGTGAAGTTAGCTGATTGTCCTGTAATTTAAAAATATGCAAGTCTTGGAGATTAAACAAGATAAAGCATTTAGACCATTTTTTAAATTTGTTCTCATATAAACCAATAGAAAAAAACCCTTCCTACACGGTTGAATCTTGAAAATGCACTCCCAAAGTGTAATGAAAACTACCCAATCTAGACATGCAGAGCTGGGTTTGTATTACCAATATGATGTACTGAAATGGAAACATATTATGAAGGCAATAACTCTTGAAATTTCAAAGATCTCAATAGTTAATTTTGACTTTTTACTCTTTTCAGCATTATGTACTGCTGGATAAGATGGCAACACTTAAGACGTGAACAAAAAAACCCACCACAAACACCACACCATGTAAAGAACCTAGCAACTGCTCTGAAAACCTAAGAATATGGATGGTGAAAGGTGTTATAAAAAACCCTATGAATAAAAAGGTCCAGTACCATTACAGTACAAAAAACATTGCATGTCAAGCATTGTTTTAGGAACTGGTCTAGTGCAGGCAGCTGGAACACAGATATCAGCCACCACTGCTCACAGATTCCACTGTTTGCTGACAGCAGAAGTACACCTTTTAAAATAGCAAATACTTCCAAATTGCTTATGCAGTGAAACAACTAAAATGAAGTCAGGCACTCACACTATTTTGAGTGCCAGTGATATAATTTGATCTAGAGTGGACTCTGTAAATTCTAAGAAATCTGGCTATTCAAACCACTGGTACATGAGTGAGATTAAAGACTAACATCCATAGAGAATTTTTTTCCTAACTTAAGGACCCATCCTTACAAAGAGGAAGATGTTCCGCCTTTTGTCTGATTTTTCTACATTGTCTCCATATTTGAAAAACTCATTCCAAATAATGTGCCAGACACAATCCTCTCACCATTCAAATCCTTCCAAGACTAATTTCTATTGTGATATCACCAAAAGTTCATCCATCCAATAATAGGTGCTTTGGAAGATAGTTAAAACATAAGATTTTACAATTAAAATTAAAATTTTAACCCTTTGCAAAACACTAAAACAGCCACCAGCCACTTTACTTTTATGTTGTGCCCTCTTCATTTGATTCAGACTGGAAATAAAGCATACATTTTTAAGAATGTAAGTAATTAACCATTAAAATAATTTACCAAAGTGTGTGATGGATTCTCTATTAGTGACCATTTTTAAAACAAGATAGAAAGTTTTTCTAAACAATCTGCTTTGTACATTATTTTGGGGAAGTTCTCTGACCTGTGTTAATCATGAGGTCATCTATGAATCTATTTTTGTATTTTGCATGAAAGTGCCCTGTACACTGTAGGTAACTAATTGATATTTGTCAAACACATTTTCTAATATTTAATTATATCAAGACATAAGGGGGCTCTCTGCCTAATTTCAAGGAATACTGAACATCTCTGAATGCGTATTCTGTTACACATTAAACTAAAATTCACTTAATTGTTACATCATCATCCCTCGTGGCTGTTTTCTCCACCCGTAATTTGTCATCATATACTTATATTATGATTTTTAGGGGATGTAAACTGTCTCTAAGAATATACACTAACACAATAAGATATGAGCTCTTACTAATGCATTTCTAGGTACTCCAAAGCAAAAATAATAGTAACAACAAGGTCTTCATTTTAGATTTCGTAAAAATAAGTTTTAAAAGGGTCAATATATATATCATTATTTTTAAATGACATGAAAATATTTAAAAACAAAATACTGCAGTGTTTTCAATTCAATCGTTCAAAAGCCTGAACTTGCAAAGTACAAGCAGCTTCACTGATTTTTTTGTTCCAAAATTGAAGGCAATGTGAAAGAGCCAACAGAAAAAAAGTGAAAAAGAAATGGATCAGTACCACCGGTAAAAGATATGTGTCTGAAATCTGATTAGGGTAACTGTTTGTGTGCTTACAAGATTATTATTCTTTGTATCGTTAAATTTGTTACAGTTCACACAATCTGATGTTACAAACGGGAGCATCACCTGGCTTACCTTCATGTTCAGTTTACTTAACACTTTAGCTCTTGAGAAAATTCCAAATGGGATTTTGCTGATGCGGTTGTGTTCCATGTTTAGAGAGTAGATTGTAGAGAACTGTGATGGGCCACCCACCGGATATGACTGGAAGCAGTTCCTGGCCAACGTTAAACTAGTCAGGTTCACAAGACTCGATAAAAGGCCCTAGAAAGGGAGAGAGGGTGGCCGGGAACCACACACACAAACATTCAAGATACAGTTTCACTTGAGGTTTGTGTTTAGATTTATTTGAACATGTATTTTTTGCGCTTTACTGGATCTCATAAAAAATGGCTCCCTCCCAGACCACCCAACAAGGTAAGTGTTGCAATATATGAACCAGACTTAACTTCAGAAAAAACTCTCCCATCCATTCTTTCCACAATCACTAGGAGAAATTGTATACGCCCCCCACACACCTTTCACACACACACAGTGCCAGTATATAAAAAGTACCAACATTTGTAATCACAGCTATGCTTATTTGTAACCTTTTTCTACTTTTTTAAAAAGGGTTTTGAGCAACATGGACAATGCTGGCTCAAGCCACCCAGAGGCTGTCTGGAAGCGCAGCCAAAAATCATATCAGTCCTGACCAGCATTTTTGGTACAGGAGGAAATGCAACCAGTGCTGATGTGACAAAGAGCATAGTAATTGTGTGGTGGACGAGATGCAGCTAATGATGCAAGTCATACAAACTGGAAATCAGATGCAATTTTTTAATAGTGAGCATAACCAACCATTGGGACAATTTAGCAAATACTGTGGAGGAGTCTACATCACTGGCAATTTTAAAATCAAGATTGGCTTTTCTCTGACAATCTAGGCATGATTTGGGGGAAGTTCTATGCTCTGTGTTATACAGGAAGCATGGGTGACTGCTAAGGAGGGACATGGGTGAGGCCACTGGCCATATGAGCGCATCCATGTGACTCCTCCTTGAATTACCCCTAGCTGGGGGATAGCTATGACAACCCCCACCCTCCTCACTGCTTCTTCCCCACCCCTTTTCTGCTCTCTCCATCTATTCCCCACCCTTGGCTCCATCCCTCACCCACACTCAAATTTTTTCCCTGCATGATGCTGTTGAGGGAACTAGCGAAGGTCTGGCATTGGCATCAGAGGCTGGGATCCCTGCACTCACTGGCAGAGGTGGGGAGAAGTGAAGCAACACGGCTCCAGTCCACTCTGCTCCCCTGGCTGTTTCACTCCACTTCCTGCCAGTGAATGCATGGGGGGCAGTCCTGCCCCCTCTCCCAAGTGCTGCAGCCAGAAACCAAGAGAGTGGAGAGGGTTAGGGCCATATCATTTTTTGATGCCCTCTATCGCCAGTGAATGTGGGCAGGCCCGATCCCTGCTGCAGGCACCAGACCCACCCCATTATTCCTCTGAGCTGTCGAGAGGCTCTGGCCCCTTGGCCCTCCGACCCACGGCATATGGGCTACACAGTCAGACTAGAGGATTATAAGAGGTCCCTTCTAGCACTGAAATATATGAATATTGATTGCAATGTTCTTTCAGAGAATTGGAGACTACACTCAGTACACTGCTTTCCAATAAGGCTTTTTAAAAAATTATCAATTTGTATTAACACAATAAAAGCCTATATATACTATGAATAAACTTGATGTCAAGGATGAAAAAACAGCTACTTACCTTTCATAAATGTTCTTCGAGATGTGTTGCTCATGTCCATTCCATGTAGGTGTGCGCACGCTGCCTGCACGCTTTGTCGAAAGTTTTTCCTTTAGCAGTACCCATTGGGCCAGCAGGAGAGCTGCTATATTAGGTAATATATACCCCTTCTGGCCCTCCACCCCCTCAGTTCCTTCTTACTGGACTACTCCGAAGAAGGGGAGGCAGCCAGGAATTGAATGGACATGAGCATCACTTTTGAAGAACAACAGTTCAGAAAGGCGAGTAACCTTTTTTTTTTTCTTCGAGTGATTGCTCATGTCCAGTCCATGTAGATGACTCCAAAGCAGAAACCCAGGAGGTGGGGTCGGAGTTTAACCTCCCACGGAGTGAAGAACAGCCCTATCTAGAGCTGCATCCTCCCTAGTTTGATGAGCTACATATAATGGTTGGCAAAGGTGTGGACCGAAAACCATGTGGCAGCCCTACAGATTTCCAGGATAGAGACCTGAGCCACAGAGACTGTGGAGGAGTCCTGGGACCTGGTGGAATAGGCTGTCAAAGGAGGGACTGGCACCCCAGCCAGGATATAACACTCCTTGATGCAGGAAGTTATCCAGGAGGAAATCCTCTGGGCGGAGACCAGCTGCCCCTTTAGCCTCTCTGCAGTTGCCACAAACAACTGTGGAGAATTACGAAAAGGCTTTGTCCTATCTCAATAAAAAACTAAGGCCCTCTTATCATCCAGTGTGTGTAAAGCCTGTTCTTTGCCAGAGGAATGGGGCTTGTGGTAAAACACTGGGAGAAAAATGTCCTCGGAGACATGAAACTGAGAAACCACCTGTCACATTACTGGATTTTAAGGGGACCAGCCACATCACTGCTGCTCCCACGGGGGGAGGAGAGATGTTTGCCCCAAAGCCTATACAAAGGGGGGCATGTGAGGTGTCAAATGAAATTTTATGTTCTACTGATTCTATGTATGCTACTCATGTACTTGTATGATGTCTATATGTGGAGTTATGAATATGGACTCTGTGCTGATACTGGTCTGGACTGCCTGTTGTAAAGGAGGATTGTCCAATGAATGACTACGCTAATTAACACAGCCCCAAGGACAATGGCTCTCAAGGTGCTCAATACATACCTGAGGAATGCATCTGGGAACATGCAAACCAGCCAGGGCATAATGGCTGCCAGCATGTGAAACACAAACGGGTCACATGACCATGTGACCTACTCTGGCTAGGAGGATGCCAGGAGAGATATTAAAGTGCCATGAGGTGGTCTCCATCTTGTCTTCAATTCTGCTACTGATCCTAGATGCAGCCTTGCAAGGAACGAAGGAGGATTGCTTAACCATCCTGACATAGGATGTACACCAGAGACTTTTAAGATAGCAGTTATAACATCTCTGCTGAAAGCCTTCATCAAGAACTTGGTGATTGGTGCATGTAATGTATTTTCCTTAACAACCTTACTCATATACCTTTTTTCTTTCTTTTATTAATAAACCTTTAGATTTTAAATTCTAAAGGACTGGCCCAGCGTGATCTTGTGGGTAAGATCCAATGTGTAAACTGACCGGGGATTTGTGGCTGGTTCTTTGGGGCTGGAAAGACCCGTTCGGGGTAGGTGAGATTGGGTTCTATAACCCCTCACCTGTGTGTAGGCCCAGGGCTGATTGTGGCACAGAGGGAGCTGGGGTGTCAGAGGGGTTTTGCTCGTGAGGCTTCCTGCTGGCCGGATTGACAGCTGAAGCGCTCGGTGTGACTGGTTTGTGGCCTATTGGGGAAAGGTCTCCAGTCAGGGGCTGTAAGCAGCCCTGGTTTTGAGTAATTTGCCCTGAGCGGACGCCCTTAGTGGTGCCCAGACCCAACCTGGTCCATGGGGGTGCAGCCTGACCTTATCCTTGAAAATAAACATGTAAGGGGGGATCTGAGGTAAGAGCCCTGAGCTCTGATACACATCTGGCCAATGTGACAGTCACCAGGAATGACACCTTCCAAGATAGATGTAGCAGCAAGCATGTTGCCAGAGGTTCAAAGCAGGGCCCGGTGAGCTTAGTCAGGACTCTCAGGCCAACGAGTAAAGAGGGCATCCCCCAGAGACCTGCGGCTAAGCCCCATGAAGGAGCAGAACCTTCCCAGGGCCTCATCTGGAGACGAAGATGATGGCCCCTTCAAACCATCATCTTCTGGGTCATGGGTATGAGAGGCTGCTTGGGAGGCTGCCGATGAGATCACCTTTGAGGGCTGGGCTGTAGGTGGTACACACTCCCATAGTCCTGGGCAAGGTCTGCAGTGGCCAGGACTACAGCGCTGGCTGAGCAGGAGTAGGCTGAAGCCGTCAGGACCGATACTGTGGCTGCGCTGAAGGGCCTCAGTGCCAGTGTTGCGACCTAGACCTGGATGTCTGGGGCAAGACGATGGGCTCAGCCTCCAAGTCAGTGGAATACTCAGAGGTCGACCAGGCGGTGCCATAGCAGTGGAAATTGGAGACCTACAGCTCGGAGTATATCTGGCCATAGAATCTGGCTTTCCACAGTGTGGGGAAGAGGCGGTGGCATCACAGGTCCCAGTGCCAGGCCTCCAAGTGCTGGAGTAGTGTGCACAGAAGGGCCTGATGGTAGTGGCTGTGCCGCATGCACGGCTTTGTTCTAAACCAGTGCCAGTGTCATTGATGGAGGCGGTGCCAGTGTTGAGGTTGCCAGTGCCGGAGCTGCAAGCTGGTGCCCCCTTGTGGCTTGTGGTGTCAGGATTCGCGCTCCTTTGTCAAGCCCAATGCCGAGGCTGGGGACAAAGTCAGCTTGATAAGATCTCGAGGCCTCGAAAATATCCGGCATTGAGCACTCCAGGAGGTCCTCCGTTAGGCTGGGACCCTAGCACGGACTGGGCTTGTGTCAACCTCGATGGTCCAGGTTCCAAGGCTGCTGGTGCCACCTGCCCTACCTGAGGATGCACTGCTGGCACATGCCTTGACAGAGACCTACCCATATTAGGTCTCCGTTTCTTCTAAGGCACTGGGGATTTAGACTAGTGCCAAGGTCTTCGCAGTGCTGGGAAGTCGCGTACATGGGTAGGTGTCTCATGCACTGAATCCACTGTGCTCTGGGTCGCTGGTGCAAGGTCCAATGCCAGTGCCAGGCCAAGGGCCGCCCCCATTAGGAGAACCTTTAGGGAGACTCACTTTCCTGCTTGGCATGCAGCTTGAATCCCTTTCAGATCTTGCAGGACACAAGACAGAGGCGCTAAGCAACGCTTGCAGAGCAAGAACAAAGCATGTTCCTATGGCTCTCACAAGAGGTAAGAAGGAACTGAGGAAGTGGAGGGCCAGCAGGGGTACGTAATAGCTAATATAGCAGCACCACTCTAGAGGGCTTCCCAGCTGGAGCTGGCCCAATAGGTACTGCTAAGGGAAAAACTTCCGACGATGTGTGCACCTGCATCAGGGTGGGCAATAATTTTTGACCAGGGACCACTTGAGAAATTTTTGAAGTGGCCCTAGGCCACCCCAAAAGAGATGGGGC